TGTTTTTGCTTCTGCAGGTGACAGGGGGAAGCAGAGACCGGTCACAGAGGAAAGGAGCTAGGACTGCGCTTTGCCTTCAGAGCAAGAAGAACAGGTAAGAAAAAGGAGGACGGGAGGAGGAGGAGGATTTTTGGGGGAAGGAGTCTGATCTGAGGGTGGATTTTTGGCCTTGTGGACTGTAGAGAGTTTAGCAGCACAACCATACACCTATTGCCAGGAGCATGACTGAGGTTTGGGGAAGGGAGAGATCATTCTATAAGTGATGTTATGAGACCTCAGGAATCCTACTTGCTGTTTCACCGGTCTTTTTGCTTCCTGTTTGCCTGATCATCTATCCTAGTATCTGTCTGTCCCTGAATATTTTGGTCTTGCCTCTCTCACCGGCACCTGAGAAGCAAAACCTCTGTTAAGAAGCCCACCTGGACGCTGAATTAGCTTTGTTTTTAGGCCAGTTGTTAAGGGTAAAGCATATTATTTGCATATTGTTTGCATGGGGTGGGTTGTTCTATGGTTCTTGAGTTCCTTCTGAGATGATCAGAAAGAAGGTGGTGGTGTCCGGACAAACAGAAAAGTAGATCCAACAACAAAGTTTTAATTAAGAAAAAAAGAAAAGAAAAAATAATAAAAGAGAAAGGACCCTGGCTGGCATGGCTCAGTTGTTTAGCTTAAACCTAGGAACGAGGAGAAGTTGATTTGATTCCCAGTCATTGCACAGGCCTGGGTTACAGTCTTGATCCCCAGTAGGGGGCATGCAGGAGGCGACCAATCCGTGATTCTCTGTCATCATTGATCTTTAATAATCTCCCTCTCCCTTCCTCTCTGAAATCAGTAAAACTCTATGAAAAAAAACGAAAGAATCTTCATGGCACATTAAAGTCGAGTATTGAGTCAATGCAATTCTATATTAAAAAAGGCTAAAATGGAAATCAACTAAATGGAAGTAAAATTGGTCACTACACACAAACTGACCACCCGGGCAGATGCTCATGGCAAGAGCTGTCCATGGGTGGTGAGTGCGCCTCCACAGGTGGAGCACCGCTCAACCAAAAGCCAGACTCACAGTTGCTGAGCACGTGGGTTGCTGGGAGCCTCCACAGCAGTACTGAAGTGGGTCTAAGCGATCAGTTTGACATCCCTCAAGGGGTCCCGGACTGAGAGGCCACA